CGGTGTTCTATCAGATAGCCATACGCTGTCAGAATAGCATACATGCTGTGAGTACCATGCCAGCGCATGCGCATTAAGAAGTCCGACCGTCAGAGGAGTTGTCAGTTCACCATATGCAGCAAGTTATGACGAAAATAAGTCATTAAATTGTTTTCAATGATAACTATATAGATATACATGTGTTGTCATGGTTTCAAAGTGTATTTAAAGCAGGGTCTGGCTGCAGCTGGAGTCAACTACAACACACGCCCGTGTAAAACTCACTTAACTGCTAAGTCAGGATGCCATACAACTGTTAATAACAAAGTGTATGATGATCTACGTCATGATTCTATGTTGCTGATTAAATAAAATCATATGGTAATGACAGCGTATGCATGTCTGAGCAAGCGTACGACTATCTGACAACGTATGACAGAACACCGTGAGTTCGTGCTAAGCGTATGACGATCTGACCTGACAGAACACCGGTTCTTTGTTCTTGTAATGCTCTGTGTACACTGCATCATTATTTTATTTAATTATGTACGTTGACATTTAAATTAACAAATAACTAAAACACAAGAACGAAAGAGCATGCAGAGCATGCACATTGCTCTTTGATTGTTTTCATTCAAAGTGGCAGCTGTAATGTCTGCCATGGTGTCAGACTACCTGGCTTCATGTAGAAGGAGAGAGGGTGAAAACAGCACCTTGTGCTTGGTTACTTCTTGCTTGTTGCTCCTTGGTCAGTGTTCATAGTTGATCGTTATTTACAGTCAGGGCATTGCCTCAATTGCTATGTTTAATGGTGCAGACAGTGGTGGTTTATGACAAGAGCAATATGGGCAAACACTCAGGGTGTTATCTTTTTAGGGAAAACACCCACCACGGATTGTAGCACAGAGATGGAAGCAAGCCAGAACAAAGTTTGTTCCGCTTTTGGTAAAATTTATTAAATGTTTAATATCTAGGTGTTTTTATGGGAATATTGATCTTTGAGATCAATTTGAGAGGCAATTTTGATCATATTTCACCATTTTATTGTGTCCTGTAGGGCGGGGCGCTGGTCTTGGTCTTGACTCGGTCTCGACTTCCCTCAGTCTTGGTCTCAACTTGATCTCGGACCCTAAAAGTCTTGGTCTTGTCTCGGTCTCGATACGCTCTGGTCTTGGTCTTGGGTTAGGTGGTCTTGACCACAACCCTGGTCCTAGCTTTAAGGAATGAATCTTTTGGGATAAATCTCTAAAGGTTTGTACATTTATCATGTTTTCTACTGTCTGCTTTATAATCTCAATTTTAAAGCATTTGTGTTAGATTCTTCTATACAAGCACAATCCTATAAAAAAAATATGATCAACACCGTGAGTGTGAATACAGATGCTTTAATTATTGTGCATATTTAAGAACCAACTACTGCTTTAAGTGAATATATATATATATATATATATATATATATATATATATTACAGATATGTTTATATTTGAAGAGAGTAAAGTTTTTGATCATTTTTTCAAAATCGCTCAAGTTTGAACGGATTCAGTTGGATTTAGGTTTAGTTCACAGTATTTTCCTGTTTTCTGCTTTATCCATCGACTGACCAGCTTCTGTCCTAAGTTGCCCTCACATTAGATCAGACACATCCTTATAGACTTTTACAATTTTTATTAGCAAAAAAACTTGAAACTCCTGCAGGATTTTCCTTCCACTACTTGGATAAAAATCAGGTAATATTCAGTAAAGTTTGAGGAAACAATATGAAGACCGTTGAGGGGTGTGAATACTTTAGCAGGCGCTGAACGTTGGCGTGATGAACCAATAGCAATAGCTCTCTGTTTGTGTGTGTGTGTGTGTGTGTGAATGCATGCGCGTGTGTGTGTGTGTGTGTGAATGCATGCGCATGCGTGTGTGTGTGTGTGTGTGTGTGTGTGTGTGTACCCTGCAGGGCGGCCAGCCTCTCGTTGGTGAAGTCGTTGTCGGCCTGCAGAGCCTCGATGCGGGCCTGGAGAACCTGCTCCTTCTCCTCCATCTCTTCGATCCGCATCTCCAGCTCCCGCTTCTCCGTCGCTCCCTGCAGCGTCAGCTCCTCCTGCCTGCCCTCCGCCGCCTGCAAGGACACAAGAAGGCCGACTGTGAAGGAACAGGAAGTGAGCAGGACAAATGTGGAACCAGCCAGGATACAGGAGAGCAAGCAGAGAAGGAGCGCAGTGTTTGAATAAATAAAAAAAATAATTTAGATCTGCCTGATAACTGATAAATCGATTTTATCGATTAGTCAAAGTTTTGGGATATTTAACTTTTGAGGAAGAAAATCTGCATGAGGAAAGTTGACCATCTTGTGAAGTGAATCTTTGGTATAAGCTTCACAGAAAATACTTTATATTTCAACACATTATTATCAGTAGCAGGACTTTGATTCAGCAACAAATGAATTTAATCCAAAGAAAGAACAGACTGAGCTGCAGATCCTGATGGCTCCAGAAGGTTTTTCCTCATTAAAACGTCTATTTTCCTCCTAATTTTAAGATGTTTTTCTAGTAAAATTGCATCTTTATTCTACTAATATCATAACTATAGTGTCATAATTAATAAAAATTTCTCCTTAATACTCCGTTGTACAACTCACAGCTGGTATGATTGAATAAAAGTCACTTTTTGAAAATACTTTCTTAATTTCATCTTTAGGAAGAAAATCAAGAAAAATGTTTAAAATGGAAATCAGATTTAATTGAAGCCGCGTCGCCCAGTCGTAGGGAAGGCGGTGGTTTGCTTCAGAGTTTCTGAGCGCGTCACCTTGATCTTGTCGGTGAGCTCCTTGATCTCGTTGACGGCAGCGTTGTACTTGTTGGCCAGCTCCTGCAGCTCCTCCTGGCCCCTCTCAGACATCTCCTTCAGGTGGGTGCACTCGTCCTCCGTGTTGCTCAGCGACCGCTGCGACGCCAAACACACAACAACGCTCGCTTTCAAAACAGACAACAGCAGCCGCGGCTCAGCGGACACACACAGTGATTCAACTTTTACATGATTTATGTCTCAGTTTGTCACAAAAACAGCAACTTTCTCCATCCGAGTATCTTGATTAACACAATTTTAAAGGTTTTTGCATAAAACCGTTCACCTAATTTAAAGGGATCCAACATGTCCAACTAGTTGAACATGTTGACCTAAATATGATGTAATTCAGTTCAACATGTAATTGATTTAATTGCATGTTGTAATTTAGGTCAACAACTTCTGTTAACTTAGATGTTATTCGTGATACATAAAACTTATAATTATTTTAAAAGTTGTACATCTTGATTAGATTTTTCACTTATAGAGGCCGCCATTTTTGTCAGAGCGATGTTTATTCGTCAAGGTAGTTTATAGTGGACTCAAGTCTATAAACTAAAGTAAACAAGGTTATAGAGGCTGATGGGGACAGCCCACAAAACCCCTGGACTGAGAAACTAACAATGTTTTCATGTGGCGCTGAACACAAAGTATCTGTTGAAACAAACATACAAGATGGCTTGTTATAAACTATTTACTGCATTAGCAGGAGTCAACGTTGTCAGTAGGATCCTCCGTTTAGGAGGAGCCAACGCCCTTATGAAGAGCTAAAACCATTAGCAGGAGCTATCGCCATTAGCAGGAGTCAACGTTGTCAGTAGGATCCTCCGTTTAGGAGGAGCCAACGCCATCAGCAGGAGCTAACGAGATTAGCAGGAGCTAACGCCATTAGCAGGAGCTAACGCCATTAGCAGGAGCTAACGCCATTAGCAGGAGCTAACGCCATTAGCAGGAGCTAACGCCATTAGCAGCAGGTAACCCTCCCATAGTCCTAGCTCAGTGCTCTGGAATATAAATGTTAAGGTCAGACAAAGGAGGAATGAGTCTCTTCAGCTCCTGAAGCCATAAAAATTAAAAACAACTCAACCCCTCATTCGGGGTCCCCTTGGTCTCTCCGAGGACTGCGGGAAAAATAAGTTGATGTAATACAGTCATCTTGCTCTCCCTTCATCATTTCTGCATTACCTTCCATTTCAACGAGCTTCAGTTCAAACTAAAAGATCTGAACGTTACTCATTGTGCAAAAATTACTGTTTTGGCTGGACAGAGCTAGCGCTGCAGCACCAAGCATGCATCATCCACCCAGAATTCACTGCAGCATAAACAACATAGGTAAACACTCAATTTATCCAGAGGAAACAAGCGGCTACAAACCTAATGAAACAAAAATCTGTCTAACAATCGACCTCCTGGTGACCCACCTCGACCTCAGAGAGCTTCCTGACCACCTCGATCTTCTCCTGCAGGACTCTCCTCAGGGACTCCTTTGCTGTGGTCTCATAGTTGTGTTTGTCCTCCTGAAGAGCCAGGAGCTCCTTGCGGATCCCTTCCTCTGTCTGCGACTGCCGAAGTTTTTAAAAGATCAGAAAATCAAGAAGTTAATTTTAAAGCTTTATTTCAGACATTTTTATTATCTAAAATAATATTATATAGGAGCTACTGAGTGAAAGAGTCATAGACAATAATTATAATACAGATTAATTAATACATATTATAAATCAGTTCATTTTATTTATGGATCCCCAACTAGACTCTGCTGGAGTAGAAACTATTCTTCCAGAGGTCCACAACACAAACATTACAAGTTAAATTGTTTTGCTTCCTATTTATTTTTTTAAATGAACTATATATTTTATTCATACTGTAAATAGTGGGAGAAACAGATGATTTATTGTCAAACTGTAATGTGGTAGAAACATTCAAGTTTATGCTTCTACTAAATCCTTTTACATATGAAGGACATGTAACATCTAATAAGAAGGGTTCGGTGAATGCATGTATGAAACTGGGGGGTTCGGTACCTCAAAAAAGATTAAGAACCACTGATCTAAATATTGTATTAGTATGAAAAATTCAAATTTACATTTGGAATATAATAGTCAACAATTATTATAGTCCCAACAATCCATCGGACTCTAAGAACCTTTAGATTTTAATCCCCTAAGCAAACTAAACGGCTGTTTGCTGCTGTGCATTATGGGTCTTGTAGTTTTGTCACAGCATAAAAAAGATCTTGTATTCCTAAATATAATCAGTGAATCTGTCTAAAAGTAAAAAGCCATGAACTGATTATAATGAAAGACTCATCACCAGGATGTATTATTTTTGGCCTAAGGCAGTCATTTTGACTGCTCTTACCTTAGAGTAGGCCTGTAACTGACTGCCCATCACTTCCAGTCTGGACAGCAGCCGGTCCTCATCTATCAGAGCCTGATGGAGGCAGAGTTCACAGAAAGTGCTTTAAAATGAGAGGAAAACTTTTAAACTTCCTCTGTGTCTTAAAATTACTGTGAAACATGTCTGACAAACTAATCCTGATGTTATCTGTGTGCTTTCATTCAAAGTTATCCAACCATAAAATCCAAAAAAGCAGATTTTACATGATAAATACAGGCTAGATTGCTCATTCTACTGTAACTCTTAAGCTACATGCTTTCATTGCAAATAAATAAATAAACTCAGAGATACAGTGGAAGTGGCTCCGACCTGCCAGCTGCTCTCTGAGGCCTCCTGGGTGGTGGACAGGAGCCGCTGCAGAGTGGCCAGCTTCTGCTCCAACATCTGCTCTCTGTGTAAGGCCTCCTGCAGAAACAGACGTTTTCCAAGTCATCTGCTCCTCCAAACAACGATCTTAGATGAGCTACGATGCAATGCATGACTCCAGAAAACATCAATACATCTTTTGAGTTTCTTTTTCAGATCGTCTTTAAGATTTGAAAGTGTGATTTTAATTTGTTGAAAGACAGTTGCAATGACAGAAAAGTTGCATATTATTTTAAAATTATGCCATATATACATAAACATGTTTTGTTTATTGTTATTGTATTGTCTCCATTTTCGCAACTGTCATATTTAATTGTCTGCTATGACCAGACTATTATTATAACTTTAAACTACAGTTAAAAGTTGAAATAAGAACGCTATTAAACATTTCAAAAATAAAGTCACAATGTTCCTAAAAGGCTAAATAATAGCACAGAAAGCATTCAACAACAGATAAAAGTAAAAAAATAAAAATAAATGTAAGAAAAGAATCAGAAACAATAAAAAAGTGTCATTTGATACTTTTAAAGCCAAACTAAACAGTTATAAAAACCCTAAGATAAATGGAGAACATTGGGTGTACTGCCACAGAACAGCCAGTAGGTGTCAGTGTTTTACCTGTAGATACTGGGAGAGCTGGAACAGTTCCTGAGAGTACATACTGGGAGTGTTGGCTGCCACCTAGATAAACCACAGACAGACCAGGAGAGCTCAATACTTCATCTGTTTGACGGACCAGAGGGAAAACTGAGGGTAATTATATCACATCGTGTTCTAGAACATATAAGCACAATGTAAGGATGCAAGTAAACACGCTGAAACTGACCCTTTTTAACCAAATGATCCCATTTTTACACTGTAACCAGTTCAGAGGTGGTTCATCATCAGAACTGGTATGAGGAACAAGACCGCAAATGAAAAAATGTTGTCAGTGGAACCTGAAAATGCCATCCCATTGTATTAAAAACAACTGGTTATGTTTATATACGGGCTGTTCAGCAGCACTCAGAGCAGCAGTGAGCTGAGAGGGAGACAAACTGGAAAAACAATGGAGTGATTTTACTGTAGTAGACAAAAAAATGAAGCAAAGCATTTTATGTGCAGTTATTCACCACTTAAGGAATAAAAAACTCCTCTGAACAAACATGATAAATGATCCGATGTTCAACCTGTGGCGTCTGTCCGCCCTGCTTTATAAATGATTTACTCTGAGCAGCGCGAGCGTTTCTAAAATAATATTTAACTAAATATGAAGAAATTCTGCATATGGGTCGTTTTCCTCTGTAAAGTCAGACATTTATTAGGATCCACCTGAATTGTTTTTTGAATATTTACTTAAAATATGTAAATGATACCTAGCTTCCCATTTATTACAAAATTGCATTTCACAATATCAAAAAAGCAACATAACTAAAAGACACTATAGCCAAAGAAAAAACACCATTTTCATTGTCTAAATGAAAAATCATTCAGATGGGAGGTTTTATACTCTGCTGCTCATGAAAGTGGTTATTTAAGGCACAAAGATTAAATCTTAATATGAATGCAGCTCAATTGAAAAAGTTGTGTTTGGACCCATTAGGATTTTATTAACTTAATTGAGCTGAGAAACAATCATGGACTTCTAGGCCTGTCATTTACTGGAAAAGTTCTCCCAGAATTTATTGCGATAAACGATAATATTGTTGTCTTGAGACCATTTTTGAGTATTACAATGTTAGTGGCATAATAATGCAACAGCACAAGCTCAAAAACAACTTTAAATTCTAATGAACATTTAACACTGCAACTGGGAGACATTTTAAATATCCAAAATAAATAAACTAAACTAATAAATGAATTTATGAAGCCTCTGCAAACAAAACTTTCCTTAAAAAGGGGCTAGTTGAGACCAAAGCACCAGAGTGAAGACTTTCATCAACCAGTTTATTGGTAAAAAAAAAAAAAAAGAAAAAAAAAAAAAAAAAAAAAAAAGAGAGAGCATCTGCGACTGACTGTTACTCTTTTGCACCCTGGTAGCAATGATTCAGCCTCAGGACAGTTAATTATATCAGAGAAGAGGTTCAAATCTAATCACAGCTCCTCTTAAACACACATCGGCCTGCATTCCTCGCTCCACTGAGGCCCAGCTGCTGAACACGCAGCAGCAGGAGCTAACGCCGCACGTTGTTCTAATACACAATGAACCGTTATCCGTCCACACAACGTCATGCATTTAATGTGACAACAGAAAACAGCTCAGGAAACCTTCGTACAGAAGAACACTGAATACTGTCGAGGCGTAGCTGTGTGTAACAGAAAGCCACACACGTTTTGCACGGCAGTAACCTGCTGATTTATTACAGTAGTGTACTTTGAAGTGACGGCCAGCTGCCAGACTGCTCATTCCACTATAAATCAGAAGAAATGCCTTGTTTCACTGAGTGATGCAGGATTTTATGGTCCGCCATATTCAGATTATGGACTCACTGGGAAGACAGGAGGTTAAACCCAAACTCCTAACATATTAAATCTGTTTTATTATTCTCTAATTTCCACTTTTTCTGTTAATTTAACTATTTATTAGGGCTGGACAATAAATCGATAAACATATATTGAGATAGACATATCAATAGATAATACTATCCGATGGAATATTTCATAGATAGAATATTCACTGAACCGCAAAGCATTCTGGGAAATATAGGAAGGGGAAAGATTTCAGCTGGTAAACCTCTGACTGACAGCAAGGAAAGGTTGGTGGAATCAACTAACTCACTCATTCTTTGGTTACCTAGCAACTCACTCATTCTTTGGTTACCTAGCAACTCACTCATTCTTTGGTTACCTATAGGGCTGTGTAACAATATCGATTTTGCGATACATATCGATATTTTCTTTCCTAGAAAAAAATCGATATTCATTCGCAAGTGTGTGTATGTGTGTGTAATTATGGTGTGAATGAATAAATGCATAAATATCTATATCTATATATATATAGATATAGATATATATAGATCTATATATATATAGATATATATATATCTATATATATATATAGATATATA